TTGTATCCAATCATTGTAATTTTTAGTAGAGTAGTCAAGCGGGACACCCACTGGTCAAGAAATGGTTATGACCAAAATATTTGTCTACGTGAACTTTCACACATAGTAAACAAAAGACGAAAATTAGTAGGGAATACACCTGACGACTTTTCAAATGCAAATAAAAAATACAGTAACAATTTCAATACTTTTATCCAAAAATTTAGGGGTAACACGAGAATAACGCCGAAAGGAAAAATTGTGAAACGTATACGTGTTTCGTCCTGATACACGGTCTACAGTGAACATTTCGTCGAAACCTGTGTATAGGTTCGTAGACGTGAAAGGGTTAAAGCTTTTTGATCGCGACTTCTATGGTTGCTGGTGTATTTTTCCAGCGATATTTATTTTTCTCTTGTACCAACAATTTTTCCTTTTTTTTTTGTATTACGTTCGATATCCAGGATCAAACAACACGCGATTATTAACGATCAAGGTGTACGCAAACACACTTTGGTACAGATTCGCGGTTTTGTAGAATTATCGCATTTCGATACGACCCGAAAAACATCGGCGAGGTTTATGCTTTTCCATCTTGCGCGACGGGGATTTGCCCCGGCGAAAATTATTAATCTCCGCTTCCCTCTTAGTTTGCGCGCCAATGAGCCGAATATACGGGGTGTCCTCCGACGAACGGAGGCCAACTGTGGGAATCGAAGAGGAAATTTAATTGTCGAGGAACGGAGACGAATCGAAGAATGTGGATTGCAAAAGAATTTTAAACAAATTGAACAACGTTCGCTGGCGTATGAGCCGCTTAGAATCCAAAGTGACTAACTTCATGAAATAAAAATTAAATTATATTTATTTATGAAGAATTAAACACCAAGCATCTGCCTTTGATACTAAAATTGAAAGAATATTAAAAAGTGGACTAATCTTTTTGTCTTCTGAGTGGCTCCTGAGTGAGCAATTTATCAGATTTATAAAATAAGAGTTCCAAATTACTTTCGGATAACACTTTGAATATTTCAACAAATATCCGGCGAAGTTATTTTTAATGTTGAATTAAAAATTTGTAAATCTTAAAACGTCGATATTTTATCTAGGAGTATTTTAGCCATTAAGTAATTTTGTGCAATTAAACAGTTCAGATTCGAAAAATAACGTATTATACACAATTATTTATAATTACAGTAACAACAGTGTAATACGATCACGAAATTTGCTTAATCTGCATATCTCAATGTTTCACATAACGTTTCGTGAAACTTTTCTACTCCAACGACCACATTTTTCATTTACCTTCACCAACGACAAAATTTTCGCGAATCACTTGAAAATAGACTTGACAGTCTGAGAATTGAATTTTGCCACGAAACCAACGAGCCGATTAAAAGCAACTTTTCGAACAACACCGTTGATATCTCTTTAAAAGCTCGTTGGACGTACGTGCCTCTAATTCGATGCGCCCTAACCGAACACGAATTCGTTCTCAATTGGCTGCGATCGCCGCAGCTGCACGTGAATATCCACGTCAGAGTGTCAATAGACACAGGAGCAGCAGCAGCAGCAGCAGTAGTTGCAACCCCGACTCGACCACGCGACGCCTTATTATGTAAATTTAATGACGTCGTCGATTCGATGCACGCGCGCCCGTCCGTTCCCATGGTCGCGATCGCGCGTGCGTGCGACTCAGCCTTAAGCTTTCCGTTGGGAACACCTGATAAACCGCGCGACATTTGGAAATGTCAGCCTGATAAACATGCCGCCGGCCTCCGCTAGCACGTTCTTCTCACGAAGACAAGAATAGAGAAAAAGCAAAAACGTTATCTTTTTCTCTCCTTCTTTTTTTTCGGGTCTGACAGACTGGAGAAGATAATGGCGGATGTTAAGGGAGTTTTAGTACAGGACAATAAAAAAGCAGGATGTAAAAAAGCGAAGGAAGAATTAACTGATTGGACTGGAAAGATTTTGCTACGTATAGACGACGGAAGTAAAATTGAGGAAGTGGCAAAGTTTATACGCTGAAACGTATCGATACGTGAATCGACCGAAATCTGAGAAGATAAGGACCCGAAATTTCAGTCAGGGTTGAACGAAGTATGTTTCAGCTTCGATTCGGTTTTGCTTGAAAAACGAAAAATGCTGCACTCGGCCCTGGGTGTTACCGCATCAATCGGTGCCGCTACTTAATGCTTTAATTTACGATCTCGCTATATTTCTTTTGCAAATTATACACTGTCGTTCGTGAGTATTGAGACACCTATTAGTTCGCACGGAAAGTGTTATATGATTTAAATTACATTTCTTCGCCAAAGTTAGTGTTACATAAGAGCGAAAATATTTTAGCATTTTTTTCATAAGTGGTAGATTTGTGAGAAAAATTTTTTGCGCAACGATATCATAAATTGTTTTAAATCTGCACTTTCGTTAAGTGTCCTAATACTTATGGACGAGGGTGTAATTGCTTATTAAAAATAGAAATGGAGGATCGATATGTGAACTTCTTAAGGTAGTGAATATTTAGTAAACCGAAAATTGGGTCAATTTATCTTACGAAAATGACTTCGGTGAAGACGTGAATTTTTTATCGTAAAAGAAGTAGAATTTACCGTGTACAGTAGTTTTTACGTAAAATTTCCTCGAGCCATGCAACATAGCCAGCTAAAATTTTCACCGATATTTAACCATACACGTAAAAGATAAAAATTTCTAAGTGAAAATTAGAATATCCAATTCAGCCGCAGAGAAACCACCAATACACTCTTCAAATTATTTAACCAATAGCAAAATACTGAAGGAAAACGATGATGCTTAAAAACTAAAAAGAACAAAAATACCTCTATCCCTATTTACAATTCATTTCCAAAATTCCCAAAATCGCCATTCTACTTTTACCCCGCAGATCATCAAACGGAAGTCCTCCCCCACGTTTTAAAACCGGCGAAAGTGTTGCTCCGGGAAAATCGATCCACTCTCGAAATAGAGAACAAGGGAGAGAGAGAGGGAAGACTTTTATCACGCGAACAGAGCGGGTCGATCGATGGATAAGCCGAGATTTTGTGGTGGTAATCGATACACGTGGTCTGCAACCTCGGCGCATGAATTTACACGGGGATAAATTTAGCGTACAGCGATTTGCATGCGCCGCGGTGATAAGTGCCCCAACGTTCGCCGTTAGGAAAACGCGCCTACGACATTTTTCCGCTCGCGCCTCCTCGCCCTTTCCCCCCTCGCGTCTTAATAGCGACGACGGTCCTTTAAAAAGTTTCTCGTTACTCCAAGCTCATAATTCCGCTCATATTGAATATTTTACGCGATCTTCGCGCGGCGACAGTTGAAAGGCTCCATGATTTATCAAGCGAATATACGGTCGAACCAGTTAGCAATTCACTGGCGGACGCTCTCGTTGGAATTTTCATATTCTCGCGCAGGAATTAAACGTTGCCACCCCCCTCACTCTCTCACTCCTACTTCCCGCCCATTCCCCCGCCGTGAACTGATATAGAGAGCACGTTGACACTTTCCGCCCCGCTTTATTCCGTTTGAAGTACGCGTTGCAAAGTGAATCTGAAGAAGTGTCACGAGGTTACCGTAGATGTGAAAGAGAGACGTATTAATAAGAAATATTGTTGGAGGATCTAGGATCGATCTTTTTCTTCTCTTTTACTTCTCCTGTGAAACGAGAGAATTCTTCTTTCTCAATTTACATAAAATTCTAGAGGCGAAGTATGTTAGCTTGAGAGAAGATTTTTTTGTGTAGAGGAAAGGATGAAGGAACGTTTGTTTTTGGAGTAACCGATACTTTCGTAGGAATATCTAAATCTGGAAAATTCACAGCTGAGATACATAGCACGCGTTGTTCTACAAATTTTTTCCCAAGAAATAACGTTCCACGTAAAACACTTGACAATTTTAGAAAGAACTCTCGAAATTTTTTCAGAATTCTACGGTAGAATATCTCAAGTTGCAACGATTAATATCGAAGAAAAAATGAAGTTCGTAGGCAGGGACAGTTTTTCTTCGAGAAGAAAAGAGAAACATAGTAATCTACGATTCAAGCGTGATAACGCAAAATTCGAAGATGTTCGCTTTCAACGCGGGATACATCCGGGGTCTCGCGCGGCTTTCGAAATCTCGTGAAATTTTCTGGGCGCTATTTCCTGCTTCGGCGCATGAAAAATTTTCACGCGTCACGATTTGGAAACGTCACGCGTGACAAATACGCTCGGCGTGATAATGCAGTTGCGTGACACCCGCCTTCCTACTCCAGAGGGATGTTTTCTTCATCCCGCTCGTTTTTTCCGCGCGTTCACGCGGGACAATCAATTTCAGTCAAAAATGCCCCTTTTTATTCCCTTTCCTCTCTCTCTCTCTCTCTCTCTCGCCTAGGCATGCGAGCGCCGCATATTTCCTACCGACGATATAAAACAGCACGAAAGAACAAAGAGAGAGAGAGAAAAAAAAGAAGAATCGCAAAAGACACTTAACGAACCGACGAGAAAAAAAGAAGAACCCTGCATTGCCGGTATTAATCGAATAATCGTCGATGCGAAACAACGCCGGCGAGAGAATTCCATCAGAAAACAATGAACCGTGAATGAGGAAGAGGAACACACGTTTACATCGCGCGATCTAGTTCCGTGAAAAAGAAAAACAGGAAGAAAAAAACACGGTTTCAAGACGAAGAAGATTCGTGGAAACAATGGCCGATACTAAAACGGGGATGGAGTTCGGATCGAAGCACATCGCGTCACGTTCGATATCAACGCGAGTTCGTGGTACGCGACAGCCATAAAAATTGTCTCCAAGTTCCGTGGGAGATGAAACCCGTAGGCACAACACGCAGAAGATCGGAGAAGCGAGCTTTGAAGCGGCGCGAAGAAATCGACACACGGAACGACGAACGGAGAGAAAATCCTGCACGTCCAACACAGACCGCACGGACTGGTTTCTTGGCCGGAAGAAAAAGTAGCCGCGAGCCGACAAGATAGAGGCAAGGGAAGAATACCACCCACCTCGACCACCACCGTAGCAGTATGTGTACTCGTTATAGTCCATGGATGGCCTCTTGAGTAATCCCTCACTCGGCACTAGATCCAACAACGCCGTGGGATCGCACATTGAGACGAACTTTGATCCTCTTTCGTCATCGACGATCGAACATCGCTCCCTGACAGTCTTTCGCTGCTTCTTCGTTAAACACTTGCCGTTACACCGTGCACCACGATGAACACACTCGCGATACACGTTCGAATAAACGAAAAAGTAGGAGAATTTTCACGTTCGGCCGCGGCCTGCTTTCGTACAAACGATGCTTCCGGTTTGGACTTCAAAGGAATCGCACCATGAGACGTCGATGGATGGCGTCTACGTACGACAAAGTACACACGAAACTCTGCCACGAATCCCAAATTAAACTTGGTCGTCGCGTGTTCGCGTAAAATACGGCGAACCCGTGGAAAGTTGCGAGCGGAATTACCCTCGTGCACCTGTTATACCCCGTTTCCACACGACGGGGGAGGGGAGGACGAGTAGATCAGAGAAAAAAATAGTTCGTTCTCTTTTGCCGAACCTTTTTTTCCTCCCGTTCGTTTCTGAAAGTCGAGCGGGTTCGCACGATCGAATCCCCCGGAATTGATTTAATCCAGGCGCGCGTTGTTCACGTGGCAAGCCGGCAAACTTTTCCTATCGTTTGAACGGCCACGAATATCCCAGACATTTGCATGGATCTCTCGGATTTGCACCTAAACAGCCACACTTTTCAATGACAACACTGACGAGAACGAAAACAAAATAACGGAAGAATAATAGGAACTTCTTTTTCGGTAGTACTTTTTTTGTTTGTTTGTTCTGTATTTCACGATTTTACTGTTAATTGGACCGAAACACCGCTTCGTCGATGGCATACAGAGGGACCAAAAACAAATTGACAGGTCATCAGAGCGTTAATACCCTCGAAAATGACGCGGCAACAGCAATCACGAATTTTTATTCCGATTATAACGTCCACGATTTATCGGCCGATCGACGCCAATTTCATCCAATCAAGACACCTTGCCGCACGTTTCCGTCGATAAGGGCTGGAAAATTTGCCGCTGTGAAAGTTCAGCTGATCGATCGCCGTAGACGCCTCTAACTACGTTCAGATTTCTATTCTCCCTTAAATACTCCGATCACTCGTAAACAAATTATCTCTACGTATCACAAATATACAACACGGGTCGTCTCTGACAAATCCCTCCAGTGGAAAACTCACAGAATTCACTATTACAATATTTCCAGCAACGTTGACCAGCAACGTCGAATAAATTACAAGTTCCTCTCAAGTCACACACTTTTTGTACAAAACGAAAAAAAAAAGAAAAAGGAAAACGTTCGTTTAACAAGTTGAACTCACTCCATGTGTTTGAACGTACGATCGAGTCGAAGTTAACACGATGTATACGCGATCAGACGCGCAACACAACAGTCGATGTTTCGAATCGCGAAGGGTTCCCTCTCTGTGAAAGCTCGAGGGATGCACACGGAGCGTGGATCGTAACATAGACGAACCGAACACTTCCACGGTCACTGACAGACTGAGGATACAGGGCCAGCCGATGACTCCCGACACTGTGGCGGATGGAGCCGAAAGAAGAGTGGGGAGTAAACGAGCGGCAACAGGGAGATCTTTTGGGGAAGGGGTGGCTCGTGTAGACCGTTCGGGGGCGTACGGAAAAGGGTAGGGAAACGAGGCGATTGAGGTGGGGGGAGGACAACAGCCGGTCCTCGACGATCACAGATTCGCAGCAACCACTACTTCACTGATGCTGCAGTGAATTCCATCGAAAGACGTTTTCGTACTGTCGCTCCGTTG